GACCTGGCCACAGCTGCATGGTATACGGTAGACTCCTGCAGAGGTGAGAGGAGTTGTAATCCATCACCTGGAAGGCCATATAAAAGGACATGGTGGACTGCATTCAGCCAGCAGGTCTTGAGTTTGACATATGTGCCATGAAGGATTTACCAAACAACTCACATTGGAGAGAACTGATTGGATCCGTTCATCCCCGTAAGGCTCTCACCAGGCTAAATTTCAAGAGGAAGCTGCCTGCCTCCACTTAACCTCCTCAAATATTCCAAAATTCCCCACTACGCTTACACTTGAAACCCGCCCCAAGAAAACCAAACATGGGTGGGACCCTGCGCCCCTTGAAATGCAGACTGAGAGGGGGGGAAGCTTAATAATATTGTAACTGCTGCAAGATGTCTCCTTTCCTCCCTCCACCGCAATGGGATCAGTGGGTGAATTTGGCCTGTACTGACAGCAAGAGAATTACAGAAATGAAAACAATGCAGAGAGGCCCTTCTCTCTCTCTCGTTCTCTCTCCCGCTCTGTGTGTGTGCACACTCTGCCTTTCCTGCCTCACTCCTGTTTGTTTTGCTTCCTCTCTTTCTGAATGAACTCCCTCCATCCCTCCCTTTCTGCCCCCTGAACAGGCCCCAAACCCTGGTGCCTCTTTTCTTGAAACTCTTGCTGCATGCCAGTTGGAGGCCAGCGTGGGGATGAGGAGCCGGGAGGGGGGCAGAGGGAGCTTTCCTGCAAATCACATGATTACCCAGCTTATATAAATCACAGCTTGTTTTTCTCAATTTGCAAGGCGTTTAAAGGCACAGAGTTCCCTTTTAAAAGAACCAAAAAAAAAAAAACCCAATGCGCTAACTGGGCCCTTTTCAACAAGAGAAACCCAATTTGATGTTTTCGAAAGGTGCCAGTCTTTAAGATTTTTTTAAAAAATCAATACAGAGCACTTTCCGATGTTTCCTTTTGCTGGATAGAGGCATAATAATCTTATTGTATCAGTGTTTACTTTTCACTCTGTGATGCATTAGAGCCATCTACATACAGCACTCGCAAAGGCACTTATGTCTCTCATTCTGGCTTACAGGGTGGAGCGCTTGCTTCAAGAAAAGCTGACTGTTTTCATCCAAATATGGCTGGCAACATGGTTGAGCAACGGGATGTTCGTTCTCATGTTGTGTTGTGTAAATACAAAGTCCCTACCACTCTGACCTATTGAATGCAAACACACGTTCTGTAGAAACAAACTTCTGGATAAGGATAAGAGGGGAACGTCTTTCCTTTAATACACACATCAAATGCAAGCCTTGTGGGCCAAATCTGACCTGCCACATCATTTTATATGGCCCATAAGACTTTCAATGCCAGGGCCACATAATCACATGTATATTGTAAGGCCGAACAGGGCATAGGGTTACAGCCTGTGTTAGACGGGGTTATACTCCCCCTGAAGACGCAGGTTCGCAGCTTGGGAGTGATCCTGGACTCATCGCTGAGCCTGGAACCCCAGGTCTCGGCGGTGGCCGGGAGAGCTTTTGCACAATTAAAACTTGTGCGCCAGCTGCGCCCGTACCTTGGGAAGTCAGATCTGGCCATGGTCCACGCTCTTGTTACATCCCGAATAGATTACTGCAACGCACTCTACGTGGGGTTGCCTTTGAAGACTGTTCGGAAACTTCAACTAGTCCAGTGGGCGGCAGCTAGATTGCTCACCGGAGCGGCGTACAGGGAGCATACCACCCCCCTGTTGCGTCAGCTCCACTGGCTGCCGATCCAATTCTGAGCACAATTCAAAGTGCTGGTTTTGACCTACAAAATCCTATACGGTTCCGGCCCAGTGTATCTGTCCGAACGGATCTCCCTCTACATCCCACCCCGGAGTCTAAGATCTTCTGGGGAGGCCCTGCTCTCAACCCCGCCTCTATCACAAGTGAAATTGGCGGGGACAAGGAGCAGGGCCTTCTCGGTGGTGGCCCCTCACCTGTGGAATTCACTCCCCGGGGAAATTAGATCAGCGACATCACTCCTTTCCTTCAGGAAAAAACTGAAAACATGGATTTGGGACCAGGCATTCGGACAATCTGGCAGATAAAGAAAGGACTTTGACAAAGGACAGGAATTGACTAATGGAATGGAATTATGGAACTCGGAAAGATGAACGCTGAGCATGAGAATAGCTTTATTGATGTGTTATATACTGATTGTTTTTAACTGTGATCATTGTTTTAACTAAGGTTTTATACGTTATGTGTATGTTGTGCAGGCATCGAATTGTGCCTTTCTGTAAGCCGCCCTGAGTCCCCCCTTGGAGGTTGAGAAGGGCTGGGTAGAAGTACCCGAAATAAATAAATAAGTAAATAAATAAATGGTCTTAGAATTACAAACAATCCTTTAAAGGTAACCATAAGGTAGCCACCTTGAATCCCCTTCAGAAGAAAGGCGGAGTAGAAATGAAATAAATAATAATAAATAAGGCTGGTGTGGCCATTGATGAAAATGAGTTTGACACCCCTGCTTTGGTACCCTCCAGTTATCCCAAACTGGCAGAGGCAGTTTCAATTAGTCCTCTGTCATCGCATATTTTTCAGCTGCTTTTAAAATGTCCCCATTTGTCCCTTCTTCTCTTATTTTCCCCTTTCATCCTCAGCTTATTTCCAGTGCTGCAAACTAAGTTCAAACTGCTAAACAATTTACACTTCAATCAGCAAGAGGGAGGAGACGAGGGGACAAATTGTACCTTTAACAGTAGATTTGGGGGAAAGGAAATGATGTTCTTCTTCATTAACAACTTCTGCCATCCAGTGGTGGTCACTAAGGTTGTTGTCACCCTGTGTAGTAACTCCAGGTATCAACCTCATGGACCACATTCTGTGCCAGATCACACGGAATCCTTCGTTTTTAAAAATGTATTAATGCTACTTTTAATTAGTAATTCCTGAATATTGTTGAATGTCGTAAAAATATCAGCAACCGTAAAAACAAATCGGCAGCAACTAAAACAGGATGTGCTTGTAGCAATGATGTTGAGCACCGACACTCCCCCGCCCCCAGGTCAAATTAATAAAAACATATAATTGAAAGCACAGCGAGAAGACCCATGGAGGGCTGGAGCCCAGAGCCCAGCTGATTGGCCATGCAAACAAGCAGAGGAGCAGAGGTGCCCAGCAGTAGCTTCCAGTACCCTGGATGTTTTGTAGCAAAACCCTTTTATTACAAAGTAACCCCTAAATAAATGTATTGTATACCCTTATTTTCTGACTCTTTTTGCCTCCTGTGCAGGCCCGTAGCCAGGATTTTGATTCAGACGGGAGGGGCTGAGCTAAGAGCAGCAACTTTTTCACAGTCTGACCTACCTCATAGGTTGGTGTCAGGGTTATGCATAGAAAAGGAGTATCATTGTCTTGAGCTCATTGAATAATAGTATGCAAGTATAGCCAAAAAGATGTCATGTCAGGAGCAACTTAAGAAACCGCAAATCACTTCTGGTGTGAGAGAATTAGCCATCTGCAAGTATGTTGCCCAGGGGAGGCCCAAATGTTCTACCACCGTGTGAGAGGCTTCTCTCATGTCCCTGCATGGGAGCTGGAGCTGACAGATGGGAGCTCACCCCACTCCCCAGATTCAAACCACCGATCTTTTGATCAGCAGTCCTGCCGGCACATTATTTATTTATTTATTTCGCAATTTTGTATACCGGTCTTCTCCCCTCTATCGGGGGACTCGGGCCGGTTTCCAACAATAAAATCACAAAA